GACAAGAGCCTGCCCGGGCTGAAGGGGAAGGAGCCGGTGGTCTACCCCTGGATGAAGAAGATCCATGTGAGCACGGGTGAGTTGCCCTTGCCAGGGGAGGTGGGGATGCGCCTGCAGAGGAGGGAAGGGGGGAGGGTGCTCCCGGGGCCGGGATGGGTCGTTGCGTGTGTGGCTTTTTTTTTTTTTTTTTCCCTCCTTCTCCCTCCGCGTTTCCTAATAAAAAAAAAAAAGTGAGAAACCTTTTGTATCCGGGGTCCTTTATCAAAAGATTTACGAGACGCCAAACTGTTAGGGCAGTAATTATAGCCCCCATAAATTTAATTGCCCTGCAGTGGCTCTGGGCCATGTGTCTTTGAAGCTTTTCTTCTAACCCAAATGCCCATCACCATTTTTTATTGCTCCTCGATTGTCCCCGCTGTCGATAGGCTGCGAAACAATTTTTCTTGCCGTTTATGTATCTTATGCGAACCTGGTGTCAAGTTATTATATAATGATTATGTTCCATCGTTTTTGCTCTTCCCCCCCCCTCCCCTTTCTTTCCCCTCCGCGTGCGTGTGCGTGTCTGTGCCCGTGGGTGTGTGCGCACGTTTCAGTCAACCCCAATTACAACGGAGGGGAGCCCAAGAGGTCTCGCACTGCCTACACCAGACAGCAGGTCCTGGAGCTGGAGAAGGAGTTCCACTTCAACCGCTACCTGACCAGGAGGCGACGCATCGAGATCGCGCACACCCTCTGCCTCTCCGAGCGCCAGGTCAAGATCTGGTTCCAGAACAGGCGCATGAAGTGGAAGAAAGACCATAAACTGCCTAACACAAAGATGCGCTCCTCAAACCAGTCCACACTGAGCCAGCAGTCCAAAGCACAGACACAGGGCCACCCCCATCCCCTCGATGGGGCTACACCCAACGCAGCCGCGCTGTAAATACGGTTATTATTATTTTTTTTAATATATATATATATTTACCTATCTATTGGGGTTTTCCAGCTGCCCCGTGGTGGAGGCTGGCCGTTTGGACCAAACAACTGTGTAAAACAAAACAGGAGCAGGAAAGGAAGACGAGACGTGCCCAAGAACGGGCACATGTTTAAACCAAAACCCGGACGATTGTCTACATTGTATATAGATAATGGTTCCATGCCCATCATTTTTTTTCTATTTATGGAAACGCTCTCTTGCCCTCGGTGTAAGAGAGGGCTGGATGCTGTCACGGACGAATTCTCTGTACCTAAGACGGACTCTTTTCTCTCTCTCTCTCTCTCTCTTTTTTTTTTTTTTTTTTTTGAGAACACTTTAAAAATAAAAGGCGGTTACAACAAAGCAAAGACCTCGTGAGACACTTGTGTAAGGCATTGACTTGAATAGCGCTGTTTCGTGGCGTGTTCATGGATTCCCGTGTGCGTGTGTGAGGGTGCACACGTGCATATGCACACACACCAACACGGGAGAGAGAACGAACACGTCCACGAGCGGGTAAAGACTTAGGAAAAATTACCCCTTACGCTGTCTAAAGGCAAATGTTTTATGTATCAAAAGTAACTTAATTGGTTTTAAGTGTAGCCCCCGCAGTAGCTGTGACCTATTAGTTTTTCTCCACATTCCCGATTGCATTTATTTAAAGAAATATTGCTATAAAGGCTGTTGCTGTCTTCATATTTGGCACCGTCTAAATCGTTTGGGTCCATGTACAATTTGTGGATTTTTGGTGTAATGTATAACAGTGCCAAATGCTGGTAATAAAGATTATTCTGTACAAAAGAATTAAACGCTTGAAACACAAGTCCACTCAGTGCCGTTTCATCCACCTTGTGCTTGGCTGGTGTTGGCACCAGGAACGGAAAACAACGGTTTAATGTATCGTTTTAGCGTGGCTTCATCTCGTCAATAAGGTAATGGTTGCTTTAAATATAGTGAAAAACGTTCTGAAGTCCTAATTGCCCGGCTGGGAGAGAGAGCGCTGTAGGACGAGGAGAGGTCTTTGCTTCATTGTATAGGTGAGTAGTATTCTCTTTAGTGGACTTCTGGCAGAATTAGTCCAGCTCTCCACCGCTGCCCCTGCGACTGCTCTCAGCTGCGTTACAGAGGAACTGTGCTCCTACTGGGAGCCAACAAGCTTCCCATGACGGGTTTTGCTGGAGTAGAAGTCACACACATGCTCCCCATGATAACACTTTCAATCTTTAGCCAGCCGTGATTTATTCGTTCATTTTCGCCCGATTATGCATTTCTCGATTGGCTAGCACTTCTGAAGGGGAAGACATGGGCGGTAACCTGAAGTTTCTCTAAGCTGCCTTTTCTGTCTCTGTTTCCTTTTAATTTTCTTCCTAAGACTATTTCGAAATGCGTTGAGAAAGCCTGGGCAGAAGCACGCGTTTGGGTACAACTCCAGAGGTTTATTTGGCAGAGATCGCCAAAACGACCGTGGCAAAACGGGGTTCGCGTGGTTCCAGCCCAAGGCCGGGCATCTCGCCGCTCCCAGGCAGCTGACGGGCGCGGGCAGAGCGGAGCCGCTAACGGGGAGCCTTGCTCGGGGCTTCCACAGCAGCGAGCAGCACCGAGCCCGGTAGGAAAAGGCTTGGAGAGGAGCTCAAGTGCTGAGTAAATCTGCCAGGGCAGGCCTGAAGGCCAAGACTTATTTACTTACCCAAACACATCCGAGAGGGGTTTATGGAACCAGTGCTTCTCTCCGCCTGAGTCGAGGCCGCCAGGACCGGGTGCTTCATCACCCCCCCGGGGAGGGGTAGCACCAGGCCCCGACGACGTGGCCAGCATCCCTGCCCGCCCAAGGAACGCGGATCGCCCCGCAGAAAAACGCACCATGCCACTGGGCAGAG